ACTACCCCCAGGCAGATCAACGCTTCCAGCCAACTTGGTGTCATCTGCAAACTTAATCATCTGCACTCAATGCCCTCATCCAGGTCATCAATAAAGATATTGAAGAGGACAGGCCCCAGCACCAACCCCTGGGGAACACCACTTGTGACCAGTCGCCAACTGGATTTAGCTCCATTCACCACCACTCTCTGGGCCCAGCTCTCCAGCCAGTTCTTTACTCAGCCAAAAACGTACCTGTGCAAGCCACAGGCTGCCAGCTTCTGCAGAAGAATTTCGTCATAGTTCTTCACCGTGGCACTAATTAGTTGGGGATGTTTGCATTGAAACAATCCTTTTTTCTTCTTCATTCGTTTGATCAGCTGCTTATCCCTCACCTGGAGCTGTAATCTCTTGTCTGTTGCTTCATAATCTTCTGCATTGCTAACAGGATTAGGTATCCAGGTGAAGCATAAACAGCAGGAACAGATGATCACATACGACACAAAAACTATTCTGACTTTTCATATGCCAATTTCCCCAGTGTAATTAAAAATTAAGTAAAAAGGAGCCCTAACCTCCATCACCCCTCAGGAACGTAAGCAGCAACCCTGTAAACTTACACAAGAAAACAATGCAAGAAAAAAGAAAAAAACAAAACCCCTTTAGGATACAACTTTTTAACTAACTCTCACTAGAATTAAAGCCGCATGAAACTACAAAATTAGTAGTAGAATGTACAAGAAGATTAAAAAAAAGAGAAAAATGATTCTAAAGTTCTATCAAAACTGCTGCAAACATTTACATTACAAATACTCTCTATCCTTAAAGTAGATTTTTTTTTTTTTTCGGTCTTAGCTTTCTAAAAGAGAATGGTAAAGCTGACCTATAGTTTTGAGAAGATTTACACTGTTAGTTTTCAGTGGGCAAAATTGAAACTGGCTATTTACAAACTATACTTTTTTCTTTCATAAAATTATACAGTGTTCCATGCAGACAAATTTCTTTTTCAAGTCAGTACACCTATTGAATAGTTCACCATAACT